ACTGGACAGGGCCACGTCATCAACTGCGACACTCCAGAAGCGAAGGGGAGTGTTGGAAACAAGTAATTCCTAAAGCGCCTCTGTCGTGTCGAAACATCACACCAGAAGCGAAGCGAGTCATATCGAGGCACGAGCGAGTCAACCCTCGGAGGTTGAAAGAGGTTGCTGGAGGTTACGCGAAAGTCAAAGGTCAGCGACCTTTGACCTGACAAGTACAGCGCGACAGTTAAGGACACACAACTGACTCGTTACAGAGCAGTTGCCCGAGTCGTACTGTATCGAACCGCAACAGCAAATTAGTTACAACCGTATCCTCTTGTATTCCTTGTACTACTATATATTCTTGTATCTCTTTGCTATAATCAACTTACTTTGCTCTCACACACTAGTGCAAGGTGGTTCACAAGTCTTCATTAAACGCTTCCGCTATTACAATTGTTCTACCCCGAATTTACCCCTGCAAAAGATCCTAAGGGCTTTTCTGAGCCCAACAGATAAGTCAGTACCAATTATGTCTGTTATCAATCACGTGTGCTTGCCTGAACGGCTTGCTAGCATCGATGCTGAGGCAAAGAGGCTGGGCAAGAAGGAAGAGTGAGGGCCCTCGCAATGCCCATGGTTTATGGTCTTCTTGAGTCTGTTCTCAGTTGCATGCTTGCCTCAACAACTTGCCACCAATGCTGTCAAGGCAACAAGGATGTGCAAGAAGAGAACACCAGTCTTGGATTTTTCTGGGCGTTTCAGTGTGGTTACATTCTCAAGCAGTACAAATCGATTTTCACGTGACAAGATAAAGTCTAGCAACCAGACCTATATCCTGTTAGCTTATCTTGATGTAAGGGCATGTGACATCGCTGCGACCAAACCAAAAATCCGACCATTCGGTCGTGTTGGCCGATATGCGAGGGAAGTGGTAACAAATACCTGGGGCGTCATCTGTAAATTTACAATGACCATGGTTGTTGCGTGGTCAATTCAGAGGCACCCTGCCCTCGTGATTAGAATTTAAAGGTCTAATTTTCAATTCAGCATTCGAACAGGGTATAGAATATACGGGGCACGGAAAAGGGTGGTATTTAGCAACCTCATACACCTACGCTACACGAATTCGGGGGAAATCATCTCTGAGCACAAGTCCATGTCTAGAAAATCAAATGAAAATAACACCTGATGTTTTCTGTAGTCTGTGTGACTACCATGTAATGCAAAATTGTGGATGTTACCCCAAATTTTTATATTTGGGTGACCATCACGTACGGTAGTTTCATTTACAAATGGTAGCCCCTCCCGATGCCCCCTCTCCCCTGCGCCCTTCCATCTCGCCTAGGCAAACTTACATGCAACTTTCCTTGCATATGTGCTTTTATGGTAGCTAGCTGTGCTTGGTATGGCATGGCACTGTCCATGCTCCTGTCAGTGCAGCAGACCACGACCCAAACTGACTATCCACCATCCCCACACCTCCCTGCACCAGCTATTTTGGCACTGCCATCACAACAGCTCTCATCTGTTTTCCTGACACAATCCCTGCTCCCATCCATCCCACTCCTCTTCCCGCTGGTCCTGCCGGGGCATGTGAGCTTATGGAAGGACCAGTGCGCCTTTTGGCACTCTCTGCTGCAATACGCCACCTTGCCACACCCACCGCACCTCCTCGGCTTCTCACCGTCACCCTCCACCCTCCCGCACCCCACAGCACCACACACACGGCCTTGGACACCTGAAGCAGCAGCAGCAGCACAGATGGTCGTTGAAGCGAGGGTGGGAGAGGCAGCAAGACGATGAGACATAGCCGCAACAGGATGGGTGGAAGCAGCAGGGGTGGAAGGGGCAGCAGGGGAGGCAGGGCGGTAGCACGGCTCCCCCAGCAGCATCTCTCGCAGACATGCCACCAGATTGACTCCCCCCGGCCATGCCTTCAGGTAAGCCGGCTCCTCCCCCTTCTTGCCCTTTGGCTTGCAAAAGCTGCTGCTGCCACCTCTCCAGCTGCTGCTGCCACCCCTCCTGCTGCTGCTGCTGCTGCTGCTGGCAGTGCTGCTGGCAGTGCTGCTGACAGTGCTGCTCGCAGTGCTGCTGACAGTGCTGCTGACAGTGCTCCTGACAGTGCTACTCGCAGTGCTGCTCGCAGTGCTGCTGCTCCCCTTGGCAGACCCACGCTGCCCCTGCAACCCCTCACAGTACCTCGGTGTAATAGCAGCCTCAAGAACCCACGTAATGTCACGCTCCTCTTCCGTTCTCTCCCCGTTCCTGCCACCTCCACACTCCTCCCTCTCTCCCTCGCCCCCCACATTGAACCTCCATGCAGCCATTGCTGCGGAATACCACATCCGCACCTCCTCCCACACCTCTCCACCGTTCTCGTGATCCCCCTCTACATCCCAGCGGCCTTGCAACTCAACCTTCTCCGCCCGCCCACTCCCACTGTACCTCTTCTTGATCGCATCAATGCCCAAAAGATAATGAGAGAACGCCGCTGCCATGTGAATCAGAAAGTAAAGCGGCATCTGCTCCGCTCGCCTGAGAAGCATGTGCAGGTTCAGCGGCCTAGGGAGGCGCCCAGGAAGCTCCAAGCACTCAACGACCTCGTCAAAGACAGGGGAGGACGGCGGGAAGACCGAGAGCACGCGGGAGAACAGATGGCTGACGGGGCGGTAGGCAAAGCTGGCGATGAGAGCAGCAATGCACACGGATTGCATGAAATCTGCGGTGCAGGCCTTGCAGTGGGTGCACGCAGGAGGTTTCATAGCATACCCAGCGAATCCCAACAGGAAATCCATGTCTGCCTCGCAGCGAACAATCGGAAGCTTCCTTCTGGGCGGTGGTAGCGTTGTTGCTCTCTGCTTGGCGCTTCAAAGTGCTTCGGCTCTTTCAAGCTCTCTCTTTTGTATGCCTTCCTCCACTCTCCTTGCCCTACTAACCTGTTAATTTTCTTTTTCCGCCCCCCGCTGCCCCCTCCTGCTTCTGCTTCGGCCCTTTCATCCGCTGACCTCTGCATGAATTTCGCCCACATTCCTTCCGCTTTTGCCTTGGACATGCTTGGACTCCTGCTCCCTCCTGCTTCAGCTATCCCACGCGGTAAGCTCCATTCAGGTTCCTGGCTACCTCTTTGGCCTTCTGCATTGGACCCTTTTTCCTTTTCACGCCTGCTGTCCGCTACTGCTTCAGAAGTGCGATGAGGAGGGTCCTGGGTCAGCTGCTCAGCTGCTTCACCAAGCTCCTCCTCCACAATCCCAAGCCCAAAACACCTCTCCTTTCGATTGGCAGGAAATTTCACAGCAGCTTCGCCACCCCCAGGCCACTCCTCCAACTCCAAAGGAACGTTCCTTCCCTCCAAAGGCTTGGGAATAGCGCCGAACCTGACAAGTAGGCTCGGAAGGTCCCGAAGCGGGTGGCGCATGGGCCGGACGTTGATCTGAGGGTTGTCCTTGAAGCACTGATCCTCCGAGATGGAATCTGAGCCGTAGACTCGGACCCACTGCAAGATGCAACTGACTCGATAGGTCAGTGCAGAAACCACAGCGTTCGTATTGACAGGCACGAGTTTAGCATTCATATCAACGCTCGCAGCAGCAGTAGCAGGCGCAGCTGCTCCTACAACTGCTCCTGCTCCTCCATCCATCCCCCTTGTCTGCTGCAAACGGTGCTGCAGTAGCCTCTTCCTGGCCACCAGAATAGCTGCATTCTCTACCTGCATCTTGCTCGCAGTGTTCCCATCATGGAAAAACAGCTCTGCATCCTTCCAGTGCTCTGGCTTCGATAATTCTGAGGTGACGGCAAGGGCGAAATCAGTCGCATTCACACCACTCACATGCATACCCCTTGGAGCACTGCTGCTCCTACTGCTGCTGCCTGAACTGCTGACGCTGCTGTTGCTGCTCCTGCTGAAGCTGCTGCTGCTGCTTCTGCTGACGCTGTTGCTGCTGACGCTGTTGCTGCTGCGTCTGCTGCCATTGCCACTGCCGCTACTGCCACCACTGCTGCTGCTGCCGCCGTCACTGCACCGGAACTCCCTTCCTTCCCCCCCTCCATGCTCCAGAATCCAAGCCATGCCATCCACATATTTCTCCCACACAGGCCCCTTCAGAGTATCCCTCCACTTTACGTCCTTCCTTCCCCTCTCGCACTTGCCAGCAACCCTCTCAATACCTACTTTTCTCTCTGCCTCTTCCTCTCCATGTCTCCCATCGTCCTTCCCATGTGAAGCCATGCATCTCCCCTTCCCCTTCCCGTGCACCTTCTCAACAGCCTTCTCCTCAGCTTTCCCCTTCCCCTTCCCCTCCATATGCGTTTTCTCAGCATCCTTACCCCTAGCTCCCCCGTTACCCCTAGCTCCCCCGTTACCCCTAGCTCCCCCGTTACCCCCCGCATGCGCCTCCTCCAGCCCGCCTGACAGCAGATGCTGCACAAAAAACCCAAACCCTTCCTGAAGATCAGCACTCTCCTTCACCCCCAGCACCTGAACCAGCATGGAAGCGAAATTGTTACACTCCCTCTGCCTGGTCGCCCCCAGCTCAGTTGCAATTGCTGGCCAGGCAGACGAATAGGAACCTAAACGTGCTTTCCATAGAGTCACAAGGCGGGGGGATCTCGCTACAAGCACAAGGAACGTTGAGAAGCTGACAGCACGGCGGTAGGCAGCCCAGCAGCTGCTGCAGCGCCAGCAGCAGGACCACGCTGGAGAAGCAACAGGGGCAGGAGGAGCAGCAGGAACAGAAGTGGAAGCAGAAGCAAGAGCAGCAGGAGCAGCAGCAGGAACAGCATGAGCAGGAGAAGAGGAAGCAGTGGCAGGAGCAGCTGCAGTGGCACACAAAGCAGCAAGCAGGCGGGATCTGATCCTCCCCAGGTCCATGAGCACGCCCACACGAGGCTCCGCCATCCATTCGAGAAGCATCGCTTCCGCACAGAGGCGAGGCGCCCTCTCTGGCTTTCGCACAAAGTGCTCCTTAGGGGAAATTCTGTGTCCCTCTTGTAGCCCCTGCGCCGATGCCCCTTTAGCGGGCTCAGAAGCGGCCTGATGGCTTGTGCTGCTGCTGCTGCTGCTGCTGCTGCTGCTGCTGCTGCTGCTGCTGCTGCTGCTGCTGCTGCTGCTGCTGCTGCTGCTGCTGCTGCTGGTGGTGCTCAGGGGCTGCTGCGGGGATGGAACGAGGCTGCTGCTTGCGCAGGTGGCGACGCAACTCATCAAGGTCCTTAATCGCAAGTGCTCGCTGTGCTCGCTGGCTCACAGCACGGTCAAAGCAGCACGTACACAGATCCTCATCCCACCCGCCTGTCACGTCTAAGTAGTGAACCATATCGGCATGAGACAGCAGCTGGCGCGGCTTCGGACTGTCCTCCGCTCTCTCTTTCTCTGCTGCCCCTCCAATTGCCTCATTGGGCTGACCCGGTTCACTCTGGCCGATCTGAACCATGTCCGCATGAGACAGCAGCTGACGCGACTTTGGACTGGCCTCCGCCATTGCTTCCGCTGCTGCCCCTCCGTTGGCCTCGTCAGGCTGACCCGGTTCACCCTGATCAATCTGGACTGCAGAACTTACTAGTTCCCTCTGTAGCACCTTAAGATTTTCCAGGTTCTCTTCCAATTTCTCAGCGTACCGTGACAATCCTGTCATTCCACCAGCACCTGCCTCTTCCTCTTTCGCTTCCGCTTGCGCTGCTTCCCCACCGGCTGCCGCAGTTAACTGCCCCAGTCGATCACTCTATGTCTGGAGTGTCAAGCACAACGCTTCCATACTCTTAAACTGCTCTTTCAACTTGTGAACAGACTCCGCCAAGCGATCTATGTCCATTGCGATTTCCCCTTCCTTGTTCTTGCTGCTGCCAGCACCAGAGCCACGGCACTTCAACTCTGCTCCTCCCTTCGCCTTGTGCGCCTGGCCTTCCTTGCTACTGTCAGCATCAGGACCACCGCACTTCAGCCCTGCTCCGCCCACTTCTGGTGAAGCTTCTCTCTTTGGCTTGTGACCTTCGCCTTCCATGCTGCCCGGCACGATCGAATCCAATTGGATGGCAAAAGCAGTTGCAGCAGCAGGATTAGTCGGAGGAAGAGAACCAGAAATTGCGGGTGCAAAAGCAAGAGTTGGAGAATTTCCGAGTCGCTCAACTTTCTCTACGTCCCTCTTAATTCAATCACTCAAGGACGCCTTGTACCCGCCCTAAGCTTGGCTTGCTTGCTCAACGGTCAAGTCAGAAGGAAGGCGAACTTGCTGTCCAACAGCTATGAAACGAGCCTCCTGCTCTCGAATCTCAAAAACTTTCTCCACCAATTATATCCCAGCCTGTCCTCCCTCCTGCTGACGTGTCGCGTATGGCAGGCAGGTGGGACTGACACAGTCGGTTGAAAATTGAAAAGAGGAGCTCGTGGGGAGCAACAGTAAGAGAGCCGGCCACTTGCGCTGCAGTCGGCTTACTTTCGAAGCTACTGCTACTCGAACGATCGTCGTGATCCGTGACGCATCATGCTGTCTCACAACTGCTATTCCTACTGCCGCAAGATCCACAATTCGTCAGACTGGCTGGGATTCTTACTGAAATCCATGTCGGATGCTGCAGGATTCTGATCAAATTTGCTCATTACCAGTCGAGGCCAGCCACTGATGTCAGATCCATCGGATTCGTGGAAACAGAAAGGCAAGTAAACCGTATGACTGAATTGCAACGAGACTACGTGATCGCCGAGAAAGCTGATGATGCTATGAGACCGATGGGATATCGTTACTAGGCAGCGCTTTCCCACCCACGCGATGCTTTCAGATTCATGCGACGGTGTGCGACGAGTTCCCATTGCCCGAGCCAAGCGAGGCTTCTTCAATTGTGACCGTCGTTCTGGGGAAACATCAAACCATCCAATCACGTTGAGTCTCATGGGGTGGATAATTTCTTGACGATTCAGTCTTATCGCGTAACCTGCTGCCTTCACAGGGCCGTCGATGCGACGCCTGAACGCGTTGGATGCTGTCATGAGGTGAGAGACCAAGCCCAATCGCACGTGAGTGGAAGAGCGCAATCGGACCGTCCGTTTCCGCTCAAGTCTAATCGGGTGTAGAATACTCGACAAGGTGTCAGCTGATCTAAGCTGTCGTCCCCACACGACCTAGATTGCTGCGGTGAGACCAGCTTCGATGTTGCCATGGCTGAGAAATATGAATGCCTCATGAGTCACTCAATTGTGCGAGCCTGTGATGAGCACTTGCGCGATTGTCAGATAGCAGCCAGGGTAAGGGCGTGTTATATGTTTTCACTTCCATGGTCCGTACCATGGGCCGTCCGGACATTTTTAGGGTAACCGTTCTCGTTAAGCTTCGTGAAACTTCTCGCCCGTCACCATGCGACGTCGCCGCTGTACGTACCACCGATGAAACATTTTACAATTTTCGGTGTACATGGCCGTCCGAACGACTCCCGTCCGTCTGCCGGACAGAGCAACCAAACCGCCATTTGATTGGCATACGAGGAATCAAACGAAATACATTTTCCCCAATCAGAAGTCGCGCGACGCGGATTTCCCCTGAGAGCACCTCAGTAACAAGTATTCAGTGTTACACTATAACACTGTTTCCGAAATCGAGAAGGAAAAATGTTCCAGATTCCCCGCCCGGACTAACCTCCGTCCGGGCGCGAGGCCCGAACCGTCCGTACGCGTATTTAGTAAGGTTTGCGAACCATCGTCTGGACAAAACGGCTTAAAACAAAATGTACCACGCCCTGAACCTGGTCTGGAATTGTCAATTGTGCTTGCCTCGAGAACCATCCAACACCAATCATGCCATCATTGCAAGAAACCTAGCCGAACCATTCTTAACCCATCGAACCTGTCCTTAATATTCAGCGATTCGGTACGCAACTGGGTGGGGATCAACCTTCGGTTGCCTTCGGTTCACTGACTCAGTCCGTCCCGTCTGATGTTTGCCTTGCTATCCATGCTGTACAGGAAATCAGGGTTGTGCATTCAGGAAATTCAGTACAGTGGTGGAGAAAACTCGGTTGCAAGTTAAACATGGAAAAACGATCAGCTATCCTGAGCGATGTTCCAGTCCACTCATGCTGTCTTTATGGGGTGCCATGCGACTCTACAACAAGCCCGTGACGGTTGAACCATTTCATGTCAACTTGCGCGACCCGTATGTCATTTTATTGTCCCATCCCATGTGCATACCGAGTATATCTTTAATAAACCATTTGTTTCTTTTTTTATTATTAAAAGCACATTTCTTGCTGCACAATCGCTGCAATACGTGCATTCATATCTGTGCCAGGCTGAGTCCCTCTCATCTCCGGGCATGAGGGTAGGCCGCACAGACTGACACTCTCTGCTGCAATGCGCCTGACTGACACGCCTGCCCAGACAGCACCTCCCCTCCATTCCCCCCGTTTTCCCCCAACTCCCCCGTCTCCTCTCTCATGCCTCTCCATCGCCTCCCTTCCTTTTCGTGGCATCTGAGCCTTGGTGTTTGGCCACAGGGCCTTCTTGCACTCCCTGCCGCAGTACATCTCACTGCCACTCATGTCTGCACAGCACTTTCCCCTCCCTCCTCTCCTCTGCCTCGCCTTTCCCCTGCTTCTTGAGCAGCGCGGCAGCGCCTGAGCTTGTGCGCAGCTCTCTGCAGCTCTCTCTGTCACTAGCACTACACCTGCCCCCTGCACTCCTTTCTCAAGCCTCTTCCTTTCCAGCCCTCTTTCGCCCGCATGTGAGCTTGTGGGAGGGCCAGGCAGCCTTCTGGCACGCTTTGCTGCAGTATGCCTCACTGCCACACCGCCTACACATCTTCAGCTCCACGCCATCCCACTCCACACAGCTACACCTCGGCCCCTGGCACACCCGCCTGTACCCTGATTTCAGCGGCTCTGCCCGGGTGTCTACACCCGATGCATCTGTCCAGAAAGTGCCCGCCGGGGTTCCGGGTTCTTCGCTTCCCGCTTCTCTGCCCCCTGCTTTTTTCCCTGCCGCTCGCTTTGCCGCTTTCATCTTCCCTGCTGACCCACCTTTTTCCAAATCAGCAGCAGCGGCAGCAGCATTAGAAAGGCACCCCTTCCAAGGCTCCCCCAGCAGCATCGCTCTCAGGCAAGCCAGCAGATTCACTCCTCCCACCCACTTCTGCGCATAAACCGACCCTTCCTCCTCCTCCTCTTCTTCCCTTTCCTCCTCGTCTTCACTACACCCACGTTTTGTCCCTTTCCTGCGGCCCATGCACTTACCCCGCAGCTCTCCCATCCAGTTCCTCCTCTCCCCAGGCCACGCAACCTTGGCAGCGTGCCGCCACATCCGAACCTCCTCCCACATCTCACTATCCAACTGCTTCCACTTGCCCACCCCACCCTTCTCCTGCCCTGCGCCCTCGTCCTCTATAAGCCGAGCAAACCGGGCCGGATTCGGCTCCTCCGCATTGGCCCACCTGCCCGCTATTATGGTACAAGCATGCGTGAGCATCGCCATCTCGTTTCCCTCTGCGAGCCCTTCCAGCCACCCTCTTACATGCCTCCAGTTCACCGTCTCCTCTTGACCCGACGGCATGAAAAGGCCGAGAAGCATGTACGCCTCCCTGGTTTGGTCGGGAGGGAAGAGGAAGAGGAAGCGGTGGATGAGGGTGGAGATGGGGCGGTAGGCGAAGGAGGCGAGCAGGGCGACGCGGTTGATAGCCATGGCATGCTTGAAATGGCACTTCAAGCACCGCGTGCACTTGGAAGGCTCTCTGTCTGCTGCGGTCAGTTCAAGCAGAAACTCCACATCTGCCAGCGTGCGAATCACTGGACGGCTCTTTGAAGCTACTGCTGCCGACGCTGCTGCTGGCAATGCTGCTGCTGCTGTTCTGCCCCTCGGTGGAATTTCCCAGTCCACAGTTACTCCGTACTTCTCTTCAAGGATCTTCTTATATTCAATCCTCCCTTGCATGTCATCAGCAAGCTTTATAGCAGCTTCATTGCCAGCAGGCCACTCTCCCCACTCCCAAGAAAAGCCCTGCCGAACCAAGGGTTCTGGCACGGTGCCGGACTTGATCAGCATGCTCGGGAGATCCAGGAATGGGTGGCGGAGGACTGGGAGATCCTCTTTTGGCTTGACGCAGGTTCGGAGTGCACATGCCTTCGGAGATTGCAGGTTCGGGCCGTAGGTTCGGACCCACATGAGAATACAGCTCATCCTCCATGTCAGTACAGCCACGACCGTGTTAATTGTTGTGGTTACCACCTCCCAATCGCCCTTCACTGTATCTCTCACTCCAATCTCAGCTCCACTGCTCTTTCCATCCCCCCCTTCCTTCTCTCTTTCTGCAGCCATGCCAACTTTCTTCCTGGCAGCCTCCGCCGCAGAATTCTCCAGCTTCACTCTGTACTCGTTATTAGCATCCGTGAAGAACATCCGGCAAGCATCCTCGGAGAATTGGGGCTTGGAGAGGATTGTAGCAATGGCAAGGGCGAAACCAGTGGCGTCAATGCCACTCACAAACATGCCCTTGGGAATACC